AAGGTTCTGTTGGGTTCTGGTGATGCAGAATACAAGGAAACAATACTTGATGAGCACACTATTACTTTTTGGAAACAGCAAAATGCAAATTAGTTTCACAAGTCCAAAATTTATATAGGTTTTGGGCAAAAAAAAAATCATCTGATGCAGCTACACTGTACAAGGGCCTTAGATATGTGCAGGGCTTCATACAACTGTTTTTGGAAAGAGATCCGGATTGAATTTTTAAAAGTCTGTATGCATGAGCCCTATGTAAACAATTCTAAATTAGGGGGGGTCCAGGCTCCCATTTTGGGCGTCTTAATGCACCTATTAGTGTCAAGCTGTGGTATGTGCATGTTAAAGTATACATGATTTGATGCCCATGTGGCTTAAAGTTCAAACAGACAAAATGTTAAGTGAATCTTGAAACTATAGGTAAAAAATGTTTGCTGAGCCAAGTCAACTCATTTAATGCCATCATTTAAAATCACAGATTTATGTGTAATTAACTTAGGTATCCAAATCCTGATTCGACTTGATGCCTATCAAACTCAATTTCAATTTCAATTCAATTTCAATTTATTCATGTTTCCAACAAAACATTACAAATCAATTATAAGCATTTAAAACAAATGGAAGAAATACATGTTGGAAACAGAGGGGTCCACTTAAAAGCAATGCTTGTACAAGTGTGAACACCTCAAATGATACTTATTATTCCTAAGTTAGGAATAATGAGTAATTAAATTAACTAATCTGTAACTACAAAAGGAACTACAAAATAGGGGAAAGAAAAAGGGGGATGCCAACAGAGACGAGAAAGGGAAATTCTTTCCATGAAACCAAAGGCAACAGTAGATGGATGGAGTGCTCACAACAAATGATTCCATTTCTAGAACTCAAATCTTCTCTTTAAATCCTGAGAGAAGTTTATGTCACCTTATTGAAGGAGCTACTTGGTACACCACATTATTCTAAGCCTACTTCATTAGGCTAGCATGTCCTCAATCTGTCCATCAAATACTTCGAGTGCTTTCTCAGTCTTTCTCTCCCCACAAGTCAAAATAATGTTGTTGAAATGAGAAATATTCTCAAGTGTACAGATTACCACAGATTACCAACCTCAAATAAAATCATTTGTATTTTTTGCTCCATGTGTCATGCAATTTTGATATTTGGCAAAATAGATTCAGAGTAACAGGGTACATTGGAAAACTCAAGAAGGGGGCCAATCCTATACACAAACAAATTATTATATGAAAAACTATTTTAAAACTAGATGGAATTTTGACTGCGCGCAGTCGAAAATGATGCCTCCGCCATAGAGCAATTTAAACAATTTTGGAGTTTAAATCTCCAGTGGTTCTTGAGATATCATGATAACAATCTCAATGTATGGAATTTCATAAGTTGACCTCTGTGACCCTTGACCTTTGACCTACGTGCTCCAAAATCTAATCAGATTGTCTTCCTATGGTGATACACACTATCATTAAGTTTGAAGTTTAAATCTCCAGTGGTTCTTGAGATATTATGATATGGTGATACATACTATCATTAAGTTTGAAGTGAAAATTCTCCAGTGGTTCTTGAGATATCGCGATAACGATCTCAATGTATGGAATTTCATAAGTTGACCTCTGTGACCCTTGACCTTTGACCTACGTGCTCCAAAATCTAATCAGATTGTCTTCCTATGGTGATACACACTATCATTAAGTTTGAAGTTTAAATCTCCAGTGGTTCTTGAGATATTATGATAACAATCTCAATGTATGGAATTTCATAAGTTGACCTCTGTGACCCTTGACCTTTGACCTACGTGCTCCAAAATCTAATCAGATCGTCTTCCTATGGTGATACATACTATCCTTAAGTTTGAAGTTTTTACACCTCCAGTGGTTCTTGAGATATCATGATAACAATCTCAATGTAAGGAATTTCATAAGTTGACCTCTATGACCCTTGACCTTTGACCTACGTGTTCCAAAATGTAATCAGATTGTTTTCCTATAGTGATACACACTATCACTAAGTTTGAAGTTTAAATCTCCAGTGGTTCTTGAGATATTATGATAACAATCTCAATGTATGGAATTTCATAAGTTGACCTCTGTGACCCTTGACCTTTGACATACGTGCTCCAAAATCTAATCAGATCGTCTTCCTATGGTGATACATACTATCCTTAAGTTTGAAGTTTAAATCTCAAATGGTTCTTGAGATATCGCGCTAACAAACTCAATACAAGGAATTTCATAAGTTGACCTCTGTGACCTGTGACCTTTGACCTACGTACTCCAAAATCTAATCAGATCGTCTTCCTATGGTGATAAATACTATTCCCGAGTCTTAAGTTTAAATCTTAAATGGTTCTTGAGATATTGTGATAACGGTCAAACGGGACGGACGTACGGACGGACAACCCGAAAACATGATGCATAAAAACAACTTAAAAAGCAATTTTTCCTTCATGCTCTTTAATATGTATTCATCTAAAAACATTTTGACTATGGTTTTTTTTTGGGGGGGGGGATTTCATGTTCATGTCTTTGAGCAATATAAAAATATTTAATTAATTGATCTTTAAATAGTTTACATCATTCATGCTTTCCTTCCTTCATTTATTCCTCATAATTTCATTCAATTGAATTTACTTTTTTTTGGGGGGGGGGGGGTGAGTAATTGGCCCACTTTATTATGAAGGGCATAACAGGAATTTCGGTTGAGGTAAACAACCCACTTCAAGGGGCAATATCTGCCAACACTCTGACACGAAAGTTTGAGATAGCGTGTAAGAGGAGAGCCGTTCTGCGGAGCGTTGCAATTGTTCTTATGGGACAAGGCTAATGAAGATGTTTGTAAGCTATCAACAGCTCAATGAAACTCACATGCCATAAGGCATTCTTGAGATGCCTGAGCTGTCATGCTGAGTCAATTGCAGGGTTGACGCTGAGGATATGACAGTACACTGCTGCATTTTAGTTTCTATGGGCGCGTTTATCGGGGCTTGCCACTAGATATGTACATATCGTACCCCACTATCATACTTCACTATCGAACCCCACTATACGATCGTGATTTGCGGGATGTAGCGTTTATCAACTCTTCACGATTCACAATAAAGGCCTTGTCTCTTCGCAGCTGCTCAGCGCTATTTCTCCGAACCGGAAACTAGCCTGGGAATTCCTATTTGTATGTGAGGTTCAAAACAGCTTTGCGTTTATCGATCTCTCAGAAACGTGATTCTGGCTGTATGTCACATTCAAAACACACCTTTTTGCGTCTTTAGATATGCCCATATCTAAAGCCCTTTAAAAAAGGCTTTGCGTTTATCACCTTCTAAATTTGCCTGAAAGACGTTTGAGAAACCTGATTCTAGCCAAAAATTTGGTGGATAAACGGAACTTTAGTCAATAATCTTTTTTATTCTTCTTTCTTTCTTTTAATTGTCTGTTGAGAGTCAGAAAGGCAATAACTACATGAAATAGCATTGTAAATAGTATTCATGACCTTCTGGTTCTTGACGGATGTTAAATTCCAATTTTCCTTTCCTTAGATATATAATTCTAGTACATATGTGCAATTTTATTAATATTCCTTTTATTTAGACTGTCATTTACTACATCTATTGAGGCTCTTATTAAATACATTACACAAAGACAAAAATATTTTGCATATGAAAACAAGAAATATCAAAAAATATGATGATTATTAAAATAGGAATCATGTGCATTTATAACCAAGCGTTCTTATTTCTTGCTATCTGTCTCACTGTTTTTGTATTATCCCTTCTTCTTAGTCCTTGCTTACACTGCAAAATCTATCCATTGATATGCTGTTTAGGTATCACAAACACCCCATATACAAAATACAATAATATAGTCATTACATAACACAACTTGGAACTTCAAAGCTGTTGTAAGGGGCATCTATTGAATTCAAAACAATAATATTTCTTATATCTAATCAATCTCTTTTAGATTTATCCAAGACACTCTCTAAAGTCAAGTTGAGCAAATGATTAAGTTGGATTATCCCATTTCAAGTATAACTGTATATAGGGTGACAACAGCTTAGAGCCTGTAAAAGATGGGGAGGCTTGTCACATGAACCTTCCAAACACGTGTCATGCTCATAAAATCAATTTTATTGCCTTGATTTTTTTTCTTCTTCTCATTGAAAGCATTCTTATTGATTGCCAAAGTCAACTAACGTTGAAGGCCCCTGCAGGGACCCACATGACATGAAATTAAAAATCAGAGAGTGCTATTAACTACAGGAGAAATCATTTTCTGGTATTCTTGTCAATATAGTGAATTGTTGATAAAGCCACAACCTTTACTTTCAGACGTTTGACATAAGTGTCACGTTCAGTTTTCTAATGATTTTGCGAGGCCCCTACTTTCATCGGATCAGGCGAGCGTAAGGTCCACAGACATCTTGTTCCATTTTGTGATTCAACAGCTACCAGACTGGTGTTCTATGTAACATACAACATGAACCCTAGAACCAATGGTGTTATTTCTTAATGATTTAATCACTGCAAAGATATCAAAATAATGACTACCGTCACAATTTATGAAAAGTAGAGAAAACCACCATTATCATCACAACAACCACAACCACCACCACCACCACAGTCACATCTCACACCACCATTGCAGCAACTCTACAGGGGTGATAGTGAGCACTAAAAAAAAAAAATAGGTTTTTTGTTTTCCCCTCAACCACGCCCCCCTTGAGTAATAAAAAAGAAGAGGATTCGCGGGGAAAAAAAGTCATCTAAAAACATTCCCCCCTTTCGAGTAAGAAAATTGGGGAAAAAATAGGGCAAAATAGAGAAGAATAGAGAAAATAAGGGGGGAATCGAGAAAATCAGGATAAAATAGGAAAGAAAAAAAATCTGGTTAAAAAAAAAAATTGGGAAGAAAAAAAATCGGGAAACCAATTTAAATCGGGTTTTTATCAGGCCTGACTCTATCACTTGTAGCCTAGTTAAAATGAGAGGTACTTACTCTTGATGTAGAGGGCAAGCGGAGCGGTAGTCAGCATGATGATGAGAGGTTGTCCACCAAACAGCGAGAAGAAGATGCCACATATCGTCTGGGAGATGATCACTTTCTTCACGTCTGGATATCCATGATAAAACAAAAACATAAGCTTCCTTTCAACTGTAGGTACATGAGCTCACATTACATACAATGTATCAATGCTTCTTAAAACCCTGGCTCCTCCTACCAGAATGGGAAGTATCCCCATCCCCCCCCCCCCTCCCTCCCAAAATCTGCCACTGTTCAACCATATACTTAGGTTCAGGTGGAGGCGTTGAGGTCTAGTGCGCTTAGAAACGTGTGTGTATTAAGCACCTATGAGTACCATTAAATTTACCTTCTAAACCTTTTTGCCCCCCCTCCAATTCTAAATTATTTCATACATGTTTTGTAGTTTTTGTCTTCATATTGTGTTTATCGCTGTATTTTGTGATATCTTTAACTATTATATGGTCAGTAATATAAATAATATAAATTATAATATTCTGGGAACTTTTTATACAAGGCCACCATGGGCTTTTTCTTTGTACTCCTATTTCATTTGAAGCTATTGTATTAACTGAACATTCTTTGTATGTATACATGTATATACTTGTATGTTTATTTGCATTTGTTGTGTTTTTTATGAAAATGAAATGAATAAACGAACTTGAACTTGAACTTGATAAATGTAATTATTATTATTATTATTGGCATGAAGCAAAAGGTACAGGGTTCAAATCCCCATCACAGCACTTATATCCTGTGGCAAGACACTAATCTTCATTTGACGCTCTCTACCCAGGTAATTAATGGGTACCTGGTAGGACGAAAATCCTTGAATGCTTGTGCACCTTATGGTAGCCGTGCTAAACCTGGGGGTAACGATATGATTGCAGGGCCCTCAGGGACAACAGTATCGATTACTGATGAAGCTACCCTGGGTTAACAAGACATACAACTGTAGTGTCCTTACTATATTCTTATTATTGTTACTCCTAAATTACAACTGCAACTCACCAATCAATCCATGGGTGTTCTTGTCGTTGAGTACTCCAAACGCTATGGATGGAAGGATACAGGCGAAATAGAGGAACAGCGTCGTGGAGATGACCTTCTGCAACGTCTTATGACCTATGACCCCATCACGGAAGTCACTCCAGTAGTGAGGGAGCCTCCTCTTGAGGTCTGACCTTAGGCCACGCCCTATACAACATTTCTGACTGCTGCCCTGTTGGTGGAGAGGAGGAGAGAGAGAAGGAATGTGGTCATGTTTATGATAATTGTTACTGAATTGGTATTTACTGAACTAAAAAGTTAACTTTTGCAAAGAAGGCTGAATAACAGCGTAACTTAAAATGGACTTGAAAATGAAAAAAAACATGATTTATAACTAAATTTATATCACACACAGCGTCTCACCAACACCACACCCATAGATTTGAAGCACTCCCAAGTCTGCAACCTGGAGACTCCAGCCCAGACGGACAAGCAGACCACCCAAGTCCACACCCCGGTGACTCAAGCCCACGAGGACGTATGTTCAACCTGTTCAAAACGTTAATCCACTCCCGCCACCCATCCTCTCCAACCAGCGCTATACATGTAGTTCTCTGTAGAACTATAAGCTAAGAAAGATAACCAACAGTCTTTTTCAAGACTACACCAACAGTTCTTTTCAGGACTACACACCCTCAAGAAAGATTACAAAGAGTCTTTTTAAGGACTCCTCAATCCTCCCTCTCTCTCTCACATGGTGCACCCGCAAGCCTACTGTAAATTTATATAGTTTTTATAACTTTTACATCAACAAGCTTATGTATGCTTGAGGCATTGTACTTTCTCAAAGATATTCTTCTCGAGGAACAAAATGGAAATAGAAAATGTTGATAACTCTATTACTGTTATAAAAATAAATCTATAAAGCTTGTATGTTCTTCTTTTCTTCTTTACAATTTTGTATTTAATGCTGATTGATGGATGAAAAAAACATGAATATCTAAAAATGATTCTAAAACTGCATTCTGCTATCTTACATATAATTTAATGACAACAAGAAATAATTTGTCTTCCTGCCAAGAACAATAAAAATCAATCAGACTATTTGTGGCGTCATTATACAAACTAATCAAATTTGCACAATTTGCCGCTAAATTGTTGGCAAAAGTACACACTTCATGAAGAAAAATAATTTATCAAACTAATGATTCCCTTCGAGATACCAGCAAGGCATACTGATTCTGAATAGATTCATTAAAAAAAGTGAAATTATTCGGTTTCCGGCTGGAATTGCGTCACGTGCAGTTAAGTGCCTCATTTTTGCCTCAGGGTAAATTTTTTCATTTCCAGCGATGTTTTCCGAAACAAGTTCATTTTTTTTGTTAGAAAACATCCCAGAGGACTCAGGCAAGTTTACTCATTAGTACACAGAATTGTGTTAAAGCCCCAGTCCCCAATGATGATCAGACACAGTGCTTTGGAGCATAGACTTCTCTCCTTGTAGAGTACAGGAAAGCAAGTACAGTCAAACCTGTCTTAGTGGCCACCTCTCTATGAGGACCACCTGTCTATAGTAGACATGCCTTTTTTTTTTTTATCTGACTTTGACTTTTGGTAGTAGGTAGTACTTGTGATGGATAACTATCTTTAAGGGATAGTCAATGAGGTGGCCATTTTCCTAATGGGTAGTGATCTGAGGTGCTAAAATGGAGATTGTTGTCCTGATAGGCAAGATTCATTTAAAGTGCAAGAAATTTATTTCAAACATTTTAAAATCATTATTGCATCTTCACCTACATATATAATTGCTATCAGATACATAAGAAATCTTAGACTGTCCAGTTTTTGTCTGATCAAACAGAATTTCAGTTGTCTGTACCCCAGTCAAACCAAACAGACCAACACCAGACTACAGACCAAATACAAATATTACACGACCCCCGATATCAGCCTTCTAAATGTGGTGTTGGAGGAAGCTACTTGGGATATCATGGAGAGATCACATCACCAATGAACACATAAAGTCCATCATCGGAGATCAACCGCCACTTGCTACCAGGATTGATAAGTACAAGCCATCATATTTTGGTCATGTTAGCAGAAGATCAGGAGACAACCTTGGAAGAAATTATCATTCAAGGCACCTCTGAAGGAACACGTAGCAAAGGAAGACCCAAGCTAAGATGGAGTGACGGTCTTAGGGTACGTTTATGCTTAACTTTTTCTGGCCAGAATGAGGCATTTGTTACGCGTTTAGTTCAAAACATGGTTGCGTCCTTTCTCATTTAGGTAGAATCACAGAAAAACTGTGATCGTAATCGCCGATCGTAAAACTCACAAAAAGATGCGTTTTGGATCGGCGATTCTGGGGAAACATAAACGCACAATCATTTGTAAACACGTTTTAAAAACTTTTAATGGGGTCAACGTAGCATGCGCAATGCAGGTTTGCGAATCCAGCTGCAGAGCCAGAATCATGCCTGGAGGAGCCAGAGAAGTGAGCATAAACAGTACACCGTAGAACTGTGATTACGATGAGCATTTCATATCGCTCATTCTACCTTCAAAATTGAGCATAAACGTACCCAAAGTGATATCACTGGCCAACCTCTCAATACACTCTACCGGATTGTAGGAGACAGACGAGACCGAAGGCAGGAGACCGATGGAAAGGTCTCATCAAATGGGTCACAACTGGTCAGCCATGACCTATTGGTCAACAATGACGACGACCCCCGATGGTACAAAATGGTCGGTTTGACTGAGATATTACAAATCTTTCATGATTTCGAAACCCTATATTTCTCAAGCTTTCACAGACCAAAGCCAGTATCCCCTTTTATCTGATTTTCTGCATTTATTCAAAGTATCTTGATATCAGAGTGCTATTCCCCTTTAATGTCAACTCCTTTAAGTCTTCCTCTCTTTGAAATAAATCCACACTGTGTCAATACGTAGAAGAGTGGTAACGCAGAGAGGCGACAAGAAGGTGGAAAAAATGATATTTGCCAAGTGTCATGCTCATAAAGGGTGGAGATAGAGAGAGAGAGAGGCAGAGAGAGAGAGAGAGAGAGAGTATACCCATATACACTCATATTTACTCAAATGGTCATCATAGCATTCTAGAATCCAGAAGTGTCAGCTCTCTTTAGGCATGTCCTCATCAGCTCGAGATTCCCAAATAGCCTGCTATTTCTGATTTGGCAAATAATCCAGAAATTACAAATCGCATCTTCATCAGCTCGAGATTCAACCTCGAAACTTGAAACTTGACCTTGACAAATTAGATCAAGATATTTTGCTCAGCGTTCGCACATAGTGCGAGTCTTCGGGCCGGTGTAGACGCACCGGACAAATAGCAGGATATTTTGCCAAATAGCAGGATATTTTGCAAACTATCCCAAGATGTCTTGGGATGATTATCCCGACCAAGTATCCCACTAATTGCAAATTCAGGCTGATGAAGACGCAAACTAACTGGATAATTTGCAATCAGGATAGTTGAAATAGCAGGATATTTGGCAATTTGGAGCTGATGTGGACAGGCCTAGTGTATGTTTTTTGTTTTGTTTTTCTTGAAGGGAGGGGGGACTTTAAAAAAAAAAAAATTAACATTCATCTTAAAGTTTTGATTTGTCTGAATAATAGCACAATATCCACATTTTCAATCTGGTCTTGAAGGAGAATGTTTTGCATCAATCTCTTTTCACTGGGGTGCATGCCTGTACAGACTCTACATGACACTACTACCGAACAACATTCCATAAAGCTTTGGGCGTAGCCTATAAACTTAGGGCGTGTTTATGCTTAACTTTTTCTGGCCAGAATCAGGCATCTGTTACGCGTTTAGTTTAAAACATGGTTGCGTCCATGCTCACTTTTGTAGAATCACCGAAAAATGGCGATCACGATCACCGATCGTAAACTCACAAAAAGATGCGTTTACAATTTGTAAATACGTTTAAATGGGGTCAACGCACTGACCTCTAGTGGGTCTACGCATGGACCATGGTCTACATAGCATGCGCATTTCAAGGTTGCGAATCCAGCTGCAAGACCAATTAAGGCCACCAAGGGAGAATGCCCGGAGGAGCCAGAGAAGTGAGCATAAACAGTACACCGTGGAACTGCGATTACGATAAGCGTTTACGATGAGCATTACAAATCGCTCATTCTGCCTTCAAAATTTAAGCTCAAACGCACCCTTAGTCAGTCATCTCTAGCTGGAAGGAGTATCTTATTAAAGTACAGAGCATTCAACAGTCTTATAATACAGACCCCTTGGTACACGCTACTAGTATACTGACATGGCTTTTATGCCCTCACACTATCTTTACACTCATTGTTCCTGGATAAAAAGCTAGTTAAAGCTCTTTAAACTTTTGGGCTCCCTAACAATTTGAGGGCAAAATTTCACTTAAATTGTATCATAATTGTATCAGAAGTGAGTCTTAAATGGCATCCTCTTTCACATTATAAATCATACAATTTAAATGAAATTTTGCCCTAAAATTATGGGTGAATTTGGGGCTCCCAACACTTCAAAGGGATCCGGTAACTTTGTCTCAGATTCTGAAACAAAATCCTGGATTTAGCTCATGCTGTAATGATTATTATAAACCTTTAGGTCAGTCAGGAACCCCATGACTTTTACTAGCCAATCGCCTGTCTGATTATCAAGATATTTATGATTGGAATTACAAATTTTGAAAACCGTTTGCCAAACGGTTTTCATAACACTACAGTCTATTGGGGAAAACAAGTATGGTAAAACTGGTCACTCAAATATTTTTTACTTTTTTGAGGCACTTCTTGATCATTATGAAGCGCAATTTTGTTTAAGGCTTCAATATTACACCATATCACAGACACTGATAACATGTAGAGCCGTGTATCTCAGATGTAACATTGTTAAACGATCCCTTTAAATGCCTGCTCCCATTTTCCTGGATCAATGATAACATGATTGATGAACATCACCTGACACCTTAACCAATCTCAATACCACAGTCACAAATCTAACGCCTTGCATGAACGCAGCTTGCACCTCACACCCCCTATATGGCTGCTTTAGAAGAAAAAAAAATTGCAAATTCAACATGACTGAATGCACTTGTTAAGATCCAAGGGTTGGTATTTAGAAGGGCATATTAACTTCACCCTAGGTTCAAACCTGACTTAATTGGTTGAGTTATTCCACTGATTTATGAAGTGCCACGTTGTCGACCTATTCATTCAGAATAAATGACCCTAATTCTGCAACTACGTGAGTCTCAGATGGGAATAAGTCAATTTTGTTTCACAATCCATTAATTTGTCAGTTTTTTCAGCAGTGGATACTTGACACATCATAAATCCATTGACTCATAGAATCAAATGAGTTTTTACTTAAAGGGATCCGGTAACTTTGTCTCAGATTCTGAAACAAAATCTTGGATTTAGCTAATATTGCAAAGACAATTATAAACCTTTAGGTCAGTCAGGAACTCCATGACTTTTACAAGCCGATCGCCTGTCTGATTGTCAAGATATTTATGATTGGAATTACAAATTTTGAGAACCGTTTGCCAAACGGTGTTCATAACACGACAGTCTATTGGGGAAAACAAGTATGGTAAAACTGGTCACTCAAATATTTTTTACTTTTTTGAGGCATTACTTAATCATTTAGAAGCGCAATTTTTTTTGCTTCAATATTACACCATATCACAGACACTGATAACACGTACATGTAGGGACGTGCATCTCAGATTTAACATTGTTAACTCTGTCTTCAATACAAGGATAGGCTGCTTTTTATGAGTATGGGAAATTAGTCTGATAAATTTTCCACAACCAAGCAGTCAGTTTATTTTATTTTATTCTTAAAAGGTTTAATATTGGTTATCTCGTTGAAAGCCTGGGTGATTGGTTCTACTCATATTTGTACCACAATGTATTTTAAAATGCTGGAAATGAAAAGGGTCTATTAAATTGTTTATTATAACACATTTTTAAAGGTCCTTTTCGGTATTCCAAATGGCTATGGCATAGTATTAATCCAGTGTTTAGAACTGCAAGAACATTATAATAACAACATATATATGTACATATCCCATTTTCACCCTAATTGTTATAACAAACAAAATTGTGACAGAACAAAAATGTAAAAATGGCAAATTCTCATTTCAAACTTCTAACAATTATCTCTTTTTGGGCAAATGTACTTTTATAGCCTCAAATAAACAAATAAATAAGAGAAATACCACAAAAAAGAAGAGAGAGAAAATGATAAAAACCACTTTTATTTTGCATTGAAAAAAAAAGAAAAAACATAATGCCTGTAATGGACAAACTTTTCATTTTTACTTCAGATTGTTCCCGAAACACATGTAGAATTCAAGGCGATTGTTAGAGTAATCATCATTATCTATTAACTTTTATTTTGATAGATGAACGCATTCCAATGTGTTGTATTGTTCAGAACATTGCTATGTGTATCCTTAAAGTGACTCGGTAACATTGTTGAATGTTGATGAAAAATTATGTAGTTTTTGTATAAAATGTTAATTATTATATACCTTTTACTGTACTAACCCTCTGACATGCAAAAAACCCTTAATTTTTTTTCAAACCACAAAGATATCTATGGTTTTCTTTGAAGGCGTCACTGTGCAACACCCTCTGACAGTGATTAACAGTAAATTCTCCCAACCATTTTTGAATTTTCCCAACCATTTTCCATGTAAAAAAAGATATAAAACAGGCTATTAAAAATCTTTCAACACTTAAATGTCTGGAATGGTATATAGAGCCAATTTATTGCTTTGTGATGATTTACATTCACCTAAAATGTAATTAAATTGTAATAATATAGTTGGGGGAATTAAGGAATCGATCAGATCAGTTTTTCCCAATTTGTATCATTAATAATGGTCCGTTTTCACTCAAATTGTCAGATTATCTTTAATTGTACATCTAGCATTGAAGTCACTACCTCAGCAACACTTTCTCTCATCAAACAATCTTACCAAGTCCCTTTAACATGTGGATGTGTTCTTTCTTATTCAACCTTAGATAGCACAATATCAGCAATACCTGCTAAAAGTGAAGCCAGAACAGATTTGTGTATGAGTAAGCACATTATGACATACATGTATTTGAGAAGGCTGGAAGGAATGAAGCGGGAATGAATGTGACATTAATTTGGACTGATGTATCACTGGAGTGTGTTAGAAATTAGATTAAAAAATTGAAACATACGAAAGGTCATGTTTGATAGATCAATATAACATTTCTATATTCTGAAAAGCTGTGTGTATAAATAGAGAACTACTAGATTTGTGGTATGAGCTTCATGAAATGTAAAAAAAGAATGAAGACATAAACCAACGTGGGCACTGACTGAATGGAAGGATGGGAGGGTGAGAGAGAGAGAGAGAGAGAGAAAGAAGAAAAAAGGAGAGGGGAAAAAGGAGAGAAAAAAGGAGCAAGAGAAGAGAAAATATGAAAAGATGAGAAAGAGAGACAGAGAGACAGAGAGACAGAGAGAAAGAGAGAGAGAGAGAGAGAGAGAGAGAGAGAGGAGAGAGAGATAGAGAGGGGATACAGAGAAGTAGAGAAAGAGAAAGGGAATAGAAGAGAGACACACAGAGAGAGGGAGAGAGAGAATTGGGAGAAAAATCTGAGAAAGCGAGCAAGAGTTGAAGTGAAAAGACGAGAGAGAGAGAGAGAGAGAGAGAGAGAAAGAAGAGAGAAGAGAGAGAGAGAGAAGAGAGAGAGAAAAAGGAGAGAAAGAAAGATGAAAAGACGAGAGAGTGAAAGAGAGAGAGAGAGAGAGAAAATGAAAAGACAAGAGAGAGAGAGAGAGAAAATGAAAAGACAAGAGAGAGAGAGAGAGAGAGGAGGGAGAGAGAAAGCAAGCAAGAGAAGTGGTGAAAAGACGAGAGAGAGAGAGAGAGAGAGAGATAGAGAGAGACAGACAGAGAGTGCAAGCTCTAATGTGTGCGAGAGATAGACGTAAGTGATGGGGATACATAGATGCTCAGTGCGATAGGGGGCCCCTCATGAGTGGGGGCTCTCATGTATCCATGTGTACACACGAGGGACTAAAGGTAAGAAGTACTCCTGGAGTAAGAGAAGGAGAAAGTCTATGCATAAAATACTGCTCATCACCAACCAGTCACTTTCATGCTTCAATGCTAATTTATGACCACACACTCAAAGGGAAACCCTGAATGCAGTCTTAGAAATAGATCTCTAGTTCTTTCTTGTACACCTATGTAGTCGTTGGTTAAAGAGAAGGTTGAGTTCTGGGAAGAGGTAAAAAATAATTTGTGAGCGTTATCATTCTTATTATGCAAGTGTGGAAGAACATCAGATAAAACATGTTCCCTGAAAAGCATGGCTCTTCAAATGCCTTCATATTCTAAATATGTCATGTAACATCGTAAAAATCCTACCCGGATTTTTACGCCGCATGTTTGTGTAGTCCCATATACATCTTTCTGTGTACAGTCTTTGTAACTTTATCAAGACTTGGCCAAATTTCTTATCATTTTGATGATTCCAGAACCTTGCAATACACACAAATACTTATATGCTAGATGATCAACCTTTTCTGGTTGATTCCACACCGTTTATTTCACAATGCAATCGCGTGACCAGAACTCAACTTCATCTTTAACTCTGGTGCCTTACACGTTGGTGAGACTACCAAGAATTGCACACATCTACCCATCTATTCTTTCTTCTCTCCAAATAGAAAAGATACAAAGGAGACACGAAATTGGTATGGCAAGTACAATGTGAGCTGCAGAGAACGTGGGTGGATCTCTCTCTCTCTCTCTCTACCCACACGCGGGCGGCACTGCTCATCTGAAGGAACGGCTCATTACCCGTGAGAGATGGACAAGATAGAAAAGGATGACAACCTCTTTTCATCAACCAAGCCTAGTCACCTGAAATCTATTATCCATTTAAAGAAAATATATCGGAATTATGAGCTACATGCATGAGAATGCAATCAGCGGGGACGTGTAAGCCCAAGAATCAAGTCTTTGTGCAGTCAGAAAGCTGTGTGCATAGTGGCTACACTTGCATGTATCTAGAATGGCAATGATGAGATGGTGTTTTTAAACGTATTATCTAACGTTTAAAAATGACAAGAGGTATGTCCAATGAGTCATGGGTAGGTCTATCAATAAAACAATGACAACAAACATTTTAGGTCTACCCTCTCCCCATGAAATGTATAGACTATGGAGGGGTAAACTCTAAGATGGGGCCATCACCCATATTTCGCACTTGACGCCCCTGGATGTAAAAAAAAAAAAACATCAACTGGGGTCTGGTGCAGATTTTTAAATGGTAAAATTCATGAAGAAAAACATGAAGATTATGGAGTTGCCAATTTGTGTTGATGATTTCTGGCTTCTGACAGATCCCCCACCCCCCCCCCCCCTTTTTTTTTTGTTATATGTATTTTCACTGACCAATCTATATCTATGATTTATCTGCTGTCCTTCATAGCTACTAGCTATCTGGGTTAATTCACCCTTTAAACGAGCAGAAAAGGTTGAAACAAGTCGCTTACTTCATTGAAGTTGTCGAAGGGTCCTACACTGGGTCTGGACGTTCGGGAGTGTCTGGGCGGGTAACTCTGCTGGATGGCAAGATCTTTGGCATGCTGATGAAGCATCTGTTTGAATTCCTCCTCTGAAAGAATATTCGAAGAAAGAAAAAAAAAGGCATGACTAAAGGTATACGTCTACTGGGTTAGGCTCTACAACAGATTCTCCTGCAACAATTGCTCTGCAGTCAATATCAAACAGAGATGGTCCTAAGACAGAACCTTGTGGAACACCATGTTTGATATATCTATACACTTAATAATTCTAAACTTCAACCATGAAGCAAAGAGGCCCTAACCAAGGGCTCCACACTAAGTTTCTTTGAAGCGCTTCTAGATTGAGGTTTTTGGAGTTTGTATGCATGAGCACTATGTAAAAGTTAAAGTCTTTTTTCTTTTCTTTTTTTCTTTTTTTTGGGGGGGTCCAGACTTAAATTTTGAGCACCCATGTGTCCCTGATGCCTGTTAGTGTCAATCCCTGCCTAACCCAAACACTAAACCTAATCTCACAACCTATTCTTGTTGCAACTCTAACCATAACCCTTTATCTTTGACGAAAGCCTGGAGCAATTCTTGCAAGAGTATATGTTAGGGCACCAGTGGGGCATTATTAATCATTTCATCAATATATGAATAAGTACAGTACTTGGTATTGCAGAAAACAAATCGATAAACATGTGTATAACAGACACTGATATGAAATGTGAAAACATTGAATCATTGGCTGTGAGCGAATTTGTATTGGGCTTGTGTAGTACAGAATTTGATTTGCTGAAGGGATTGTACTAATTAACAAAATGTCAGCTTGAAATGGCAAGACTCATATGAACAAATCTATAATCTCTTTTTTTGTAACCTATTTTGAAATCTTTTTATTCAGATGGTCATATCTCAGCCAATGCTTAACATATTCAATTGTTTTCGACATTTGGACTTTATTTTTGATGCTCTTTCGGAAAATGAAGAAAAAATTGAGAAATTCTAAAAGTAGATTTTTATGATGTCACAGCTTCGGTACTCTATATGACAACTGACGTTTCATGTGTGTATGATGTGATAGTTTAGTATGTTTTTGGTGTGCATACAGTTATACAACGATTAAAAGCAAGAAGGTAAACAAGGTTAACAAAACAAAGCAAAACATGGATAGAACACACTTGAACATGGATAACATGAAACGATCTGCTCATTGCACAGTCAAAACCACAGTCTACTTGAAGACAAAGATATATAAAAGCCATTCTAGCACTTTTAAAGGAGTAAGTTTTTGCATGTGCAATTTCTGACATTTGCTCTGGCACCAATTATTCCGGGCTTGATCTTGTTAGAGATATGCATGGAGGGTTAGGGATGCAAATGGGTTTTAGTTTTTATGTAGGGTTAGGGTTAGTTATCTTATTTGGTCCAGAGTTGAAGGTTAGTGTAGGAATTGACCACAAGTATTTTTTGCTGGAGCATGTGTCAAACAACCAGGAGGCGCATTTTGAGTCATATTCAAGTAATTTCTAGGCTGGTGCAGACCCTTTTTTGACCAATGGGCAGAAAGTTTGGAAACTTTCAGTAACTGCTGTTAACTTTTTCAAGAATATACTAGAACTAGATGGAATTTTGACTGCGCGCAGTCGAAAATGATGCCTCCGCCATAGAGCAATTTAAATAATAGTGAGGTCTCTTGCTTTGCGCAATTTCTCAAGACGCGTGCCAAATTTCGAGGCAATCGGCCCCTCCCCCCCCCCCCCCCCCCCCCAGTCAGGGAGGTGCTCAAAATAGCCCAGTTAAGTACGGGTTAAGTAACGGAACATATTTCAAGTGGTTCTTGACATATCATGACAAGTCCTATACATGTAGTCTGAAATTTTCAAGTTGACCTCTATGACCTTTGACATACATGTACTCCAAAATCTAATCTGATCGTTTTCCTATGGTGATATATATACTATCCTTAAGTTTGAAGTTTAAATCTCCAGTGGTTCTTGAGATATTATGATAACAATCTCAATGTATGGAATTTCATAAGTTGACCTCTGTGACCCTTGACCTTTGACCTACGTGCTCCAAAATCTAATCAGATCGTCTTCCTATGGTGATACATACTATCCTTAAGTTTGAAGTTTAAATCTCAAATGGTTCTTGAGATATCATGATAACAATCTCAATGTATGGAATTTCATAAGTTGACCTCTGTGACCCTTGACCTTTGACCTACGTGCTCCAAAATCTAATCAGATTGTTTTCCTATAGTGATACACACTATCACTAAGTTTGAAGTTTAAATCTCCAGTGGTTCTTGAGATATCATGATAACAATCTCAATGTATGGAATTTCATAAGTTGACCTCTGTGACCCTTGACCTTTGACATACGTGCTCCAAAATCTAATCAGATTGTTTTCCTATAGTGATACACACTATCACTAAGTTTGAAGTTTAAATCTCCAGTGGTTCTTGAGATATCATGATAACAATCTCAATGTATGGAATTTCATAAGTTGACCTCTGTGACCCTTGACCTTTGACATACGTGCTCCAAAATCTAATCAGATCGTCTTCCTATGGTGATACATACTATCCTTAAGTTTGAAGTTTAAATCTCAAATGGTTCTTGAGATATCGCGCTAACAAACTCAATACAAGGAATTTCATAAGTTGACCTCTGTGACCTGTGACCTTTGACCTACGTACTCCAAAATCTAATCAGATCGTCTTCCTATGGTGATAAATACTATTCCCGAGTCTTAAGTTTAAATCTTAAATGGTTCTTGAGATATTGTGATAACGGTCAAACGGGACGGACGTACGGACGGACGGACGGACGGACGGACGGACGGACGGACGTACGGACGGACGGACGTACGGACGGACGGACGGACGTACGGACGGACAACCCGAAAACATGATGCCTCCGGCACCACCTTCGGTGGCGGAGGCATAAAAATACAGGTCTAAAAACCATGATCTTGTCTATGATAAGTTGTCCTGTATAAGCTGTTTAAGCTGATAATTGATATTGCCAGTTTGCACACATTTTTCTCCTTTCCCACTTATTTAATTATTGAATTAAAAAAGATAAGGATAATGTATAACCACTGAAGGAGACATCTACAACCGATGAACAGGCAAAGGCCTATAGCATCACTGGATTAAAGTAAAAGTAAAGTAAAGTGGAATTAGAGAAACAGTTTAAAAGAAGCCGTTGAAGAGCTTCATCGCAAATACACGATAAATCTGCTCTGAATAGTTTCAGATGAATGAATCTTTTGCTGCATGAAATAGACATATAAACATCTTTCTACAATACACACATAAAATACAGACTAAGATCATCAATTTGTTTGTGACGATTTCTCGAGAAAATGTCACCTTCCCAATAAATCCTACCATTTTTCTCAACCCTCAAAAAATGTGGACTACAATTTTGACAAATATGATTAATTTATATAAAAATCATTAGTTTTCCTTTCCCCTTAAACATAGGCCTACTTGTATATGGACACAAGCCCTAAAACCATTGATAACATATCGAAAGGACTTGACAGGGTGTGTCTAGGTCTATTTTGAATAGGAAAGAGAGGGAGGGGGGGGGGGCAAATTGTCAGGCAAAATGACCAAAATTTAGAGCCAATTCTATGTGCAAAACTAAGGAAACCTAGCAAAGCAACTTTTTTTTCTTTACCAAACTCTAATAAACAGTATATAGCCATCTTGCTAACGGCCTCAACTGTTCAACAAAACCTTAATCCTACTAAGCACAGGCATATGCAATGGAATAGCAGTTATTTTCAACCTTCAAAATCTGTAAATGGTTAATTTCTTCCTTTCAAAAAAAAAAAAAAAAATGATTTCATAGAGACACACTCCTTCTGCAGCTTTTGGAGTTTTTTTCTTCTTCAGATTTGGCCTTATCGCATTTTTGCGACAAAGCTCTTCAAGTTTTCGGAACGAGGTTGTAAACGGCTGGCTGACCTGCTTCTACGTCCGTCTCAGGAGCAGACTCTGGAACAGAGAGACTATCTGTCTGTTTAGTGTCCATCCTAGAGGATGTGGAAGACATACACTCCTCGGGGGCTGGTAGAACAAAACACAATCTACTTCAAGCACTAGCTAGCTACTACTACTACTCCAGTGTAAAGCATGACATGAAACAGCTACAGCAAGGCTTTTGCTACGGTCACAAAGGTTGGTACGAACGATAATATTGTACGAATCTCCCTGTTTTTCCATTGTCTTCCCGAATGTTCATTGTCTGAAAATCGTTCGTACAGCGTTTGTAGCAGTTCGTAATGGCATTTGTGACCGAGGCTTTTCATAGAACCAATTTTGTAATAGTTTCAAGAACATCAATAGGGAAAGCAAATTGTCATAGATGCATAGAAGCAACTAATAATTGAGGAAAAAACATTCATTCATCAAAGCATTTCCATCTACAGACATGGACAAAAGAATAAACAAACACAAATGTAAAGGGAGACAGACACAGAGACAGGCAGGGATTGTGAGATACAAACAGTTCGTATCATAAATAAGTCCTGTCTGTGAATAGAATTTTCATATTATTATAGAAACTAGAGTTTCAGCATTATTGACTTGGATAGCAGTGAAATGATAAACCCAAACTCTACTCACTTAGATAGAAAGGCACCAAGTCAGCCATACAATGGAATTATGTATGCTTAGTGATACAACCTTATCAAAAGTAACTAAAGACTACATGCCATATGAAAAGACCAGCAGTTCTATGATGCTTTAAAATTACATATCTAAAAGGAAAATAATCTGAAAATAATCTGAAAAATACTTGAACGCATGAAACAAACCCCCAGTGAGATCCAATAATGGATTACTTTTTCCGCAAGGAATCCCCAAACACCCCCATTAAAAAAAAAAGAAGAAGAAAAAAGAAAAACCTCAAACAATGCACAATTGTACATTATTTAAAGTGAACCGGTAACATTGTTGAAGGTTGATGAAAAAACTGCCTAAACTGCCTACTCATTATATTCCTTTTAGTTCTGTACTAACCCTCCTCTAACATGATGGGAAAAAAAGAAAAGAAAACAATCTCAGATATTTTTGGTTTTCCTTGAAGGCGTTATGTGTAACTTCCACTAACAGTGACTTCTCCCAACCGATTTTCCATGAAAATAGGACATAAAACAAGCTTTTTTAAATCTGTTAACACTTGAATGATTGCAATATCTTTTATTGTACATCTAGCATTGAAGTCACTACCTCAACACCATTTTCTCTCATCTGAACACTGTTACCAAGTCCCTGGCGATAAATGTGTAGGGGATGGCCAGTGCTGCACTTTTGCCAGATGTACCGGCAGATACCGGTGATAATACATTTCATGTCTTCTCTTAGCAATACCCTTTGATAAAATGTACTTTTTTTTTCGAAATTTCATCAAACCTTTTTGGCCCCCATTCGACTCTTGATGAAAATGGTGTATGAGGGATGCCGGGGGCGTTCATATATGACCCTTCCTGTGTACTGAGTGCTTAAAGTATTCAATATCAATATCCTGCTTTGGGTTGTGGCACCCGCAATGAAGAGGTTTTGAGCATGATACTGTACTAATTATCCCTTTGTGTAAAAAAGCATTACTGTCTTTCAATTTGGCTTCTTCTTTATCGGGGGGGGGGGGGTTCTTCAATAGGTCAAAGTGTAACCTACTATTACAGCAGATATTGTCCGCTGAGAGCTACAGTAAATAGGTTTCAACTTTTATACCGTCTTTTAACATCGCTACACCCTCTGGCCCTCTCAGACAATATATTGGTGGGTGAAATGCTGAAGGATGTGTCATCAATCGCAATAGTTAGCTATCAGCATCCCTTTGTTCTTAAGCAAGGACAGGCAATTACTTGTCTTGAATATGACATTTAAGCACTGTAAGCTTCATCAAAGAATTTCTGGTACCCGACAACTTTGAAATAGATCCCTGTCTCTGGGGATGGTGGGGAGGGGTGCTTATGTAATGAATAAACATTTTAGGAGGCATTTTTTAAAGGAAGATGTTCATCCTATCCTGAACGTGTGAAAATCATATGCAGGGAACGGCATTTACCTGATCGAACCTCCAGGAGCTTCTGCCTGCACTCGATGTCAGCCAGGAGTGTTGCAAACGTCCTGGCAGTCTCCAGGGCATTCTTAGTACCCTTCTCCCTCATGGGAGCTAGGACTAAGATGAAGAAACGGATCTCTTGACTCGTACGTCCCAAGTTGGCAGGGTGCTTCAGCCTGGCGATGGCCACCTTGCGTCTCTGCAGCGATGGTAAGGAGCATCTGCAACGGAAACAATGGACAACGGTCAAGAGTTGGACATACAATGCTTGTATCTTGGACACTTAACCAACCCTGTGCAAACTATAGTGAACTTGATATGAGTGAGTGCAATCAAAAGAAAAAAGTAAAGGATTGAGGTTGTCCTTCAGTTGGGCAAAGGACAGCTTGCGTCTCTGCAGCGATGGTAAGGAGCATCTGCAACGGAAACAATGGACAATGGTCAAGAGTTGGACATACAATGCTTGTATCTTGGCCACACAGACTATAGGCCATGCAGAATATAGTGAACCTGATAAGAGCAAGTTTATCAAAAAGGTAAAGGCAGGAGGTTGTCCTTTAGTTGGGCAAAAGACATCTTGCATCTCTGCAATGATGATAAGAAGCATCTGCAATGGAAACAATGGACAACGGTCAAGATTGGACATACAATGCTTGCATCTTGTTCACACAACCAACCCTGTGCAGAATAAAGTGAACTTGATATGAGTGAGTGCAATCAAAAGAAAACAAGTAAAGGATGGAGGTTGTCCTTTAGTTGGGCAAAAGACACAGGTCTTGCATCTCTGCAATGATGGTAAGGAGCATCTGCAACGGAAACAATGGACAACGGTCAAGAGTAGGTCGCACAATGCGTGTATCTTGGTCACACAACCAACCCTGTGCAGAATATAGTGAACCTGATAAGAGCAAGTTCATACAAAAATAGTAAAGGATGGAGGTTGTCCTTGTCCTCAGTTGGGTAAAGGACACCTTGCATCTCTGCAATGATGATAAGGAGCATCTGCAATGGAAGGAAGAGAGGGCTGGGACTTGGACAAACAAGGAAGTCCTTTTAGTCTCATGGAAGACATGGTGAACTTGATGAGAGAGAATTAAAATGGCAAAAAATACTGATGGACATGCTTTCACCTAGTGATGGCTAATTCTCTGGATGTATACTACGAAGCAACTGCAAAGCAAGCAAAGGACAAAGCTTAAAAGATGGCCATACATCCTTTGTACATTGGTCTTAACACATTCTTTGAAAACTTGGTCACTTGGTGGGCATTCAAATAAAGAAAAGACAACTGTCACAAGGTATAGCCAAGCATTACACATCTTGCATTGTAAGGGGACTATAAGGAGTGCCAAGAAAGCAAGAAAGAGATCATTTGCACCTTGGTCTCACAGGCACATCCTGATCAAAACAGTTCATAAGGCAATGTTATAATACAAGGAAAATAATTCTGTGAAGTCATAGGTTGGCTGCCCACCCACCCCCCCCCCCCACCGCCCCCCCCCCCTCCCCACCCACCACACCCCCAAAAGAGGGGGATCATGCATAATCAATGCCTGATTAACTTGTAATGACCTGTGGTCTTATCATAAATCTACAAAACTTGAAAGCTAATGTTTCTGATCTGATATACACTCTTGTTGAAATCAATTGATACTGCATCCTTGATAACCTTCTAAAATAAATTGTAAATAGGCAACAAGTCAAAGGCACATGCATTATGGCAAATTTATGATAATTTATTTCTCACTATTCTATAATAAACTTCAAATGACTTTGAAAGGCCACTACAAATCCAGGAAGAAAAAAGACGTAGAAAACTGAGTCAGGGTATGGATGACCCCCAAACTGATCACTGACACACCTGATCCCAACACCCTGCTACGGAAGGTGCAGGATTCACACGTTTCGTATCGCTACAGTAAACAAGCCAGTCGCCATCTCAGTGATGGCATAGCCCCCAACCAAGACGAGGTCATGGACTCATGGGGGAAATAAATGGAAGCGACACTTCATAGTGAGACAGTGATGGAAGCATCTAGATGTGAAAGAGTTAGTGGAACAGATCTCATTCAGGAGCAATTATCTAATCATATCTGTAGATTTTAGATTTTGAATGGAGGAGGGGGGGGGGGGGAGGGGGTCTTTACTCTCTTAATTCAAAAGTTCAAATACACGTACAGGTGACTCCAATCCGCCATTTCTACAAATCTTTTAAAGACCGTCAACACTACTGGGCCAGAAGGGATTAGACCACATAGCGAGGTCACTGACAGGTGGCTATCTCATTAACTCAGCTCTCAACTAACATAAGAAAAAGAGGATCATGAGGGACCAACAGGCACCGATTGGGGAAGTTTTCTATACAGAGGGATCAAGTAGCTACAAGTAGGACAGTGGGGCTTTAAAAGAACCCATGGCCCATTGCATAAACTTACCACTGATGGTAATTTCGCCATTACTAGTACTTTCCACGAAAACCTTAAGATTTGATTGGCCATTGAGTGATGTTGCCATGGTAGTTAATATTGATGGCAAAGTTACCATCAATGGTAAGTTCTATGCAATGGGGCCCCAAACAAAGACGAGTTGGGGTGACGGTGCGTGTACTGCTGCTGCACCCTGACTTTTGAACACCCTTTTATACGCTTTTCATATTATCATCAGCTGAAATTATTATTAACGGGAAGGGGATATCAGATACACAAATGAAAAATAAAATTTGTTTGTATTTGATGTTTGCTTTGAAATGTGAATCTCTTTGATGACACATAAGCATGGGTAGCTCTTGTAGATTAAAAGGAAGGAAATAAAGAAAGAAACTGCTATGGTTCAGGTTTTTGATCTTTGAGAGTATTATAAAAACATGCATTATCAAGAAAATCTACATGGAACTCTGAATGAATTAATAAACAAATTCTGTCACCAATGAAAGGGGATGTCCATTCTAATACTAATTTGGTTTTAATAAAAGCAGAACAATGAGAGAAACAAATACACTAATTTGAGCATTAAACTTCTTGTGAACCTTCACAATGAAAAATGAATGAGGCATCCTCTGTTACAGGCAAAGTCAACTTGAATTAAGGTAAGACATTATAGTCAATGTTAATTTCTATATTTAATGCAACCCTTTATATTTCCAAAAGCTATCTCCAAAAGTTATCTCCATCATTAAAAGGGCATTGCTGCTACTCTCATGTCGCAAAATCATCCAACGACGATGGAAAATGCCATAAAAACCAACAACAACATCTCACCATTTTCCTCCACTATTCAAATCTGGAGTAATTGTTCAATTGGTGGCGATTGTGATCCCTTCTCGATGCCGATTAGTCGCACTTTAGGAGTGCAGATGATGTATTGGCTGCGAAATCTCATGTGTAGGAAGCACCTGCTACCAAACGATTCAATTGGTCCCTAATTGCCCCCCTTTTCGCTATCCTCCAGTGACCCAGCGAACCGATAAAGGAGCTAGTGGCCATTTATTGGACTACTCCACTGGTAGACGTACGGGAGCCGTGAATGGCCCAAGACGGGATTCCAAGCCAATTTCACACGCAGGCAGATTTATCTGGCTAAATTACTTGATTCTCAGCCTCCATCTGTCAGAGTGAATGACTTGGGAATTGTCTCATCTGTGAGCATATATGACAGACCTGGGAATATATTCCATTTTAAAACACCTTTCTGACATAAAAATAGAACAAGTGTTTGACTTTTGCATATTTCAGTGTCTTCCAATTATATCTCTTTTCTTTCTATTTGTTATTTCTTAAATAGTTTTTTTGTTATCGCTGGAGGTCAGCTGCTACTAGCACTGTTCATGTTGTCTGTTGAGGGCCAGAAGGGCATCCATCAATACTGTTGACTTATAGCACTTTTCATAAATTTAACTTCCTTCTTGCTCTCGGCAGAGAAAATGAAATGCAATTCATTATTTTTCTTCAGTCAATATAAAATGTGTAATAGGGACAGCACAGCAATCAGGAAACTGTACCCTTTTCATGCTCTTGTCCAAGAAATTACTATTTTGTAAACACTGACGTCTGAGACAATATGGACATAACTCTGTGAATAATCTTCCCTTGAGGGTCGTTTAAATACGTGCATATATCATCATCTGCCAAGCGTATGACACAAAGTGGTTTTTTATTTAAGAAAGACGAGATGGATAATGCTCTAATGGAACAAATCAAACATATCTGTCATGGTTTCAGTGTAGAGATGGCTTACTTGATTTATTTCAGGAGCATTTTTATGATTTCTAGTAGTGAAAGTAAAAATTCTTTGCATCAGTTTTCTTGTTTTCAATTGACCAGAGCTCCCTACATAAGGATTTCTACAGCTCTATAAGATCTTCTCAAGGGAAAACTTGCTTTTCACTGCCTTGCATTTTGTTTGCTGCTTGGTACTGTTGCTTATCACATGAAAAAGAAAAATGATCTTGATAAGGAGTGGCAGTTAGGGAGCTCAGCAAAGTGGAGTAACACTTAAAGATGCGCCCTGTTCCCCCAAATACATGATTGCCTAAAATGTATATTATTGAATAAAAGCAGAACCATTTTATCAGGATCTTAAGATGTACGTGGACTCTGGAGGCATGATAACTCAGTTGGTAGAGCAGTGGTCTCGTAATCCGGTGACCCGGGTTCGAAAACCAAGTCGATGTGCTAGTGCCCTTTGAAAAGGCATTAATCCTCATTACCAGGTCCCTCGGAGTGGACGTAAAGCCGTCGGTCCTCTGGTTGCTTACTAACAAGTATTTATGCTTTCTTAGCAGTCAGGTAAAATAACGACTACTAAACATAGAATTTAAGACATAAACATAGAATACATGTAGCTCATACCCCTACATGTATACATTGATGGTTATGCAGAGCTGCCAACCTCTGAAACCAAAATCAGTAATCTGAAAGCTAAAAATCAGTAATTTTGGATGGAAATCAGTAATTTCAAGCGCGGCGCTTTCAACATCAAGAAGACTGCATTTGCACGTACATTGTAGAGCTGCACACAACACCACAACACAAACTACTAGTACCATGGTAATAGCATCACTCTGAATGACAGGACTTGAAGTAAAAACAAGAACATTCTGTTTATAAGTATAACATCATTTTAAGTGCTATAAAAAAAACAATGGTTATTAGAGGATTGATGTATCATTACCCTGTTTCACTTACGTGTGTATATTCACTTCAGGTTTTTACAATTAACATAGATGTTAACAGCGATGTTGTGCTCTATCAAAAATTGAGTAAACTTCACTTCGGCGTTCGTGACAGAATTGTCCTTTGCGACGAAAAACTGGGCGATGTCATGACTGCGGGAATTGGAACTTGCCTCCGCCGCTGCAGTCCGGTGCTTCACCGACTTCAGATGTAGGCCTACCTGGATATCGTTCGAACCGCCATGACCAATTCCAAAATCGGATGAGCAATGTGTACAACAGGCACTGTTTGTATTCCTTTTCGACGGAACAATGCATGACCATTTCTTGGTGTAATCACCTGAGAAGGTTTGCAGTTTTTTAGAACGCTTCTTCGATGAAGTTGAAGTCATTTTTCTCCGTCGGTTACTCGAAGTTTGACGCGACCACGGCCGACCTGCTGCACATGCGGTAGTGTAACACTAGGCCAATGCATATTTCGCCCAGATAAATATCGTGCCACTTGTTTCAGCACATCCACCATGCATGCGCTTTCGTATCGGTCAAAACTTTGTGTGTCAGCTCATTCAAAATTTATTCGTGTATCATATTTTGTTATCAACAATGAAAAGGGGTATATGAATAAAATGAAATGAATAAACATGATCCAACAAATAATGTGAAATAAAACACAATGACAATAATTGTTGAATATAAATTCAAGTTTAATCAAGGAAGTACATTCATTTTCCTTATGACAATTATCATCATCATCATCATCATCATCATCATCTTCATCATTAGTCGAGTCGTACTTTTATTATCATAACAATGAGAACCCATCACTAAGGGGAAAAAAATTGTAGACCTGCTATAAACTACACATGGACATGGTACCGTACGGGTTGGTTTGCAAGGTGGCTAAATGGACTTGGGACGAGTTTGCCGTCTCCCCGATATATATTGCATGCTGAAAGCTAGCACACGCAGCCCATATAGGCAGGGCGGTGTGCATATCTTTCGATGGTAGCTACATGTGTGTGCAGTGGTCGTGGCTGAGGCGCGGATGATATTTCCGTGCGCTCAAAAGTTAACCACCGGGCCGAGGCCCGGGAAGTATCGCGATCATTACCGCTAAAACACTCGCATATGCATAATGCATGTGTTAATACATAGGCATGTCCAGAAATCGGGGAATCCGTAATTTTTGAAGGGGTTTCCGTGCTTCCGTAATTGCCGTTGATTTCCGTACCAATTACGGAAAATCCGTACTAGTTGGCAGCTCTGGTTATGGTTATACGTCAATGGTTATGTAAAATAATAATCATATCATGATTAACTACACTTTTGGACTACCCTCATATCTGGCTTTTGCGTTCCGGACGCATCTTTGTTTGCCACTGAATACAAATTGGATTACTCTTTGAGATGCACCAACATTACCCTTAGAATAATGCATTCCGGGCCTGTCTTCACTTGCCCCTACAGTTCCGCAAACTACAGTGTAACTTAAAATCAGTAATTACAATTTCAAAATGAAGAAGGTAGGAATGAATGCCGAGAATCTAAATGTATTTATACACTATCTCAAGGGAAATCCAACTTACATGTAGAGAAATATGTTGGACAATGCAGAGATGGGGAACAGGGAGGAGAACAAAGAATTAGAATTAAAAAAGAACGGAAGAACGCGAGCGAACAAAATGGAAAAGAAGAAAAAGATAGGAAGAATGTAAAGGAGGGGGAGAAAAGTAAATAGACAATATTAAACCTGGGATGATGAAGATGAATAAGTAAAATGGAATGAAGCAATGGAATTACAATAACCTTGGATGTACGGGAAGAGAACAGACAGCTTAATTAGCATCATCCTAACTGAACAATAGAGGTTAAAGTAATTGAATTCATTAAGCACAGCTCAAACACTGGATGCAAATATAGATATGAACATGTCTGTGACATAATGTTGGCAATTCAAGTTGATTACATTTATATGCATCACTTTTCTATAGCATCACACAGGGGCACACACAGGGTGTTTACAAGAGAGGGGACATCATGTTCCTAAAATATGCAGTCTTGAACTTTCTGAATGTATATGAAGAGAAGAGACAGCTTTAATGAGCATCGTTCAGACTTAATGATAAAGGTCATAGTAATCTTTAATATGGCGCGCAGCTCAACAACTAAGTCTCTGGCTAAAGATATGATTATGAAATGTCAGTGACTATGCTACTTAGTTCTTATAACTCTGGTTATATGTACACATATATTAAGCATCAGTTATCTTTCTCCAACATCATGCATAGCTCAGACACTAATTCACTCCCAAAAAGAATATGTTATGAAATGTCTCTTACAGAATGCTTAAGTACAATGCGCATCATCCATCTATCTTCATATTACAAAACAGCAAATTAATGAGGGGGGTTGGGGTTAAGATGATGATTTGAAAGACGTTAACAAATTCAATGTTAGATGTATATTTGAAAATTAAACATCAAGAAGTATACAAGCTATAATTCAAAATGGAACATGAATTTGACCCTAATGGTTGCTTCTGTTCTATCCTGTAAAATAAAGAATTTAATACCTAGCATCTTTGTAAATTAAAAAAACTATTTGAAATACAATTATACCACCACATCAAAATATTGGGGGGGGGGGGAGAAGAATAAAAGTATTGAGGATAAAACACGTTATGACATTCACATAAATAAAGTGCATAAATGCTCGATTGTGTATGTGGCTTTGATGATTAAAGCAGAAAGGTAGAATTATTTTAAATGTCAAAGTCATTGCCTCATGACATTGTACTTCATCCCGTACACTGTCTCGTATATCACTATCTATCATCTTCATTAATAACGACCTTCACAATTGATAAGCCTCCTCAATTGTAATGGCTTTGAAAATTTTATTTGACAGGATTGCATATTACTGCCGAGTCAGTCTAGCATAGCTTGTACACTGCATGTGTTTGCCTATAAGCTGCCCAGTTAATGGACAAGAACACGACAAGCTTATATTATAAATTTGAATTTATGTCCATTCACAGAACATCAATGATTATATTTTATACTATTTTAGTGTACATTTCTCCAGATTTTATGGGCTTCATTTGTATTTAATTTTTGTTTTTTAACTATACCCAATTTCAAAACTATCTTTAAAAGTACTGAATTCAACATTTGAAAGACATGTTGAAAAGTCTATTCAAGCTAATATGGAAGGCAGGTATATGGAGTTTGGAGATTTCTTTAAAGGAAATCCTATGTTTAAATAATGACATCAGTGATATAAGAGTACCAACAGAATATATATTGGTCTTAATGAAAATCATGTATATTGATTTTTCCTAATAAAGTGGAATTATTGTACCTTATCAGATTGTTACAGTTAGTAAATAATTCACAGTCTTAATAAACTATGAATTTCAATGAGGATGTTATTAAAACTTAATTAGATTATTACTGAAACTAGAATTTTTATAGAATTTTAATAGAACTACAAATTAATGTAATTAATTTCTCCCTCACAAATAATTATCCTTATACATTTCCAAGATTTTTTCCTTACATTCTTGAGCAAACAATTTTTAAAAAAATGAATCTCAAGACCACGTTAAAGTTAAATAGCAACTTTAAATAATGCTTCATGCCTTTAGACAACACACAAAATGAATACATGTATTTTTGTATAGTCTACTATGCCGTGGGATAAGAAGTGTCTAGTAAGAAAAGAAAATCAAGAAGGAAACAACATTTAAAAAGAAAGAAGAAGCTTATAGCCAGAAAGATATTGAATCTGTGTAAAAAAAAATATGAATTACCCCCCCCCCCTCCCGCCTCTCAACAGACAAAAAAGGGGTATTCTACCTTTGAAATAGAAACATTAAGTCCATCAAGCTGCATGGCTTGAATACAATCATGGGGTATAACTTACAAGGAATAGCAAGTGCAGTGACACATGAATAATACTTACAATGCACATATCCACGACTGATCATAGTCGAAACCTCCGCCTTCGCTTGTACTGGTGCCTTGCACAGTCTTAGCAAGTACATGAACTGTATAAAGAGAACAAAGAGATACAAATTAGTACCGAATATGGTTTAGACTATAGACAACATAAAATCATTTACATAGAAACATTTTATGCAAATGTTATTTTTGAAGACTCATACCCTATCATACTACAGACTACAGTGGGAGTTACAATTTCTTTGTCAATCTCACTAAAATACAACTTTGTTTGTTTTTCTGGTGGAATTTCTGATCACTCCCTACAGGTAAGAGACAGAAAACAAAATGGGGGGGGGGGGGAGAAGAAAAGATACAACTGTATGATTCTCTGCGGCTGTACTACATTCAAAGTGAAAAAGCACCTTAAAATTTGACCTAAAAAGAAAATCCTAGCATCTGGTATTTAAGAGCCAAAAGGGCATTAACTTAAAAGCTATAACATAGAGTTAATACCCTTCTTGATACCGAAATGTGATATATTGAAACGTGTCTGCGTTATCCCTTTGAACATTAGAATGGAGGCAATTGGGGGATATACACGTATTCCTCTCCCTGGCTGCAAAGGGTTTTCAAAGATGTGAAAACCCTGTAGAAATTTAAGATAGAGGGAAAGATGGAAAGAGGGAGTGGGGCTAGATGGATGGATGGATAGATAAATAGAGAGACAAGACAGACAGAGAGAGAGAGAGAGAGAGAGAGGGGGGGAAGAAAGAGATGTGTTCGCACCTGTAGAAATTAAAAAGACAGGAAGCGGGTGAAGAGGAGAGAGAGAGAGAGAGAGAGAGAGAGAGAGAGAGAGAGAAAGAAAGAGAGAGAGAGAGAGAGAGGAAGAAAGATAGGAACAGAGTCAGCTAAATGGAGATAGAAAGAGAAAGGTATAAATGCAAATTTCGATTGCACTATAAGACACTAGACAAACTTGTTCTGGGGTATGCAGAGGTGTTGAATTTGTTTGATTTCTGAATGCTTGTGTATATTTGCCTACTCCTAAGCAAGGGATCAGAACACATAGAAACTGTGAATAGACGAACCACTCTTGAATTCCCTGCTGTATCTTGCATTCATTCATTCATTCTCTCTCAATATCTCACCCTCTCTTCTGTTCTCATCTCTCAATCTCTTCACTTCTCTCTCTCTTCTGTTTATTTTTCTCATTACCCCCTCTCTCCCAATACCTCTTTTTGTATCTGTCATTCTCTTTCCTGTCTGTCTGTCTCTTTCCATCTCACCATTTCTCTTTCCATCTGCCTTCTTCATGTAACGCATTCATCACTACTGCCGACACAGTGACATTTTGGCAGACATCTTGAGATGATGGAGAAACAGGAAGCTCCCACTTGTTAGCCTATCATCCCTCCCTTCCCCCCCCCCTCTCTCTCTCTCTCTTTCTTTCTCTCTTTCTCTCTCTCTCTCTCTTCTAAGTATCTCTCGCTTTATCTTTAACTACAATGCTATGTTTTTTTTACTAACCTCACGATGTGCATGTTGATTTAAGATCACAATCATCCACGCCCCCCCCCCCCACCAAATAAAAAGGAAACTGAACTAGTGTCAGTTTGTACTTGTCTCCCCCCCCCCCCCCCACCCTGCTTCCCTCTTTCTTTTTTCTTCCTCCCCCACATCTCCCTTTCTTCAATCAATCAATCAATGTCTCTGATGCTTAATCCGCTGGCTACACTTTCTCATTCTTACCTAGTATGCACTTCGCTTTCTCTGGCAGAATATCACAAATATTAAATAAAATGTTAACAAACTTAATGATATTGTATTTGAAAGATTAACCAAAATATTAATATCATAATGACGGTGAAAGAAACAAAGGAACATATCATCCGTTGGCAGCCAGAAATTTTAGCAGAGTTAAACTCCTTCCTGCTCTTTATACATGATATCTTGTTAAAAAATCAAAAGAATAATATAGGAATAAATGACTAATTAAGAGGACAAAATCATTTTGGAAATAGCCCAAAATAGTTAAGAATGCAGGGAAAAGAGGCAATTTATAGAGGAAAAAAATACATTTCTTTTATATTCTTTTATCTGAGCAACTTTTCATGCCAAAACAATATTTTGTATGTTCTAAACATGAAAATAATGCCTCAAGCAATAGATGTGTATTTACAGCCCAAACGTCATGTACTCAAGGCAAATTCTTCAAATCAAACATCATGTTAATACATTTCAACATGAAGTTTTGCTTGGCAATTTGATAAGATGCCAGTACAAGCCAAATATAACTTCTATCTTTTGATATAAAATGGGTCACTGAAAACAATTTCCAAACATTTTGTTTGTTTTGACTCGAGTCCTGTCGGCACTTCTGGACCTGCATTAGCACATCCTGCGGCCAAATTGCCATTATGCCGATAAAAATCATGTGATCAAAGACAGAGAGGGAGACAAAGGAAAATGGGAAAATATGGCTAAAGCCCTAATTGGAGCAGAAAATGGGTAGCTAGCCCGCCCTGCCCGCCATGGTGACGATCGTACTCTGTGTCATCAATCATACCACTCGGTTTCTATTGACGTCATAAAAGGGGTGCATTCCCACTAGGGCACTGGTCTGTACCCACTGCCGTCTTAATGTACATGTCACTGCGAAGAGCCAACAGTGTGTGAACTCTGTGTTAGAGCATATGGGTTAACGCCCTTCTGGCTTTAAACTGACTGTCTAAGGTCAAGCGCATGGAAAAGACCTTGCCCGATACACAAGGGCAAGCAAGTCTGTCTGTCGGGCAAGCAATTTATGAAGGATAATCCGCCATTGATGGTCTATTTTAATGTGCAGTACTCGTACCTTTACGGGTATGCCAGTTTGAATTAGTTTTGATGTGTCATACTTAGGGAACCCCATTAGGTGGGTTTATATGGCAATGACCGAAATGAACCCAATAGTTTTACGACACTTGCTCTGTGATGGTGTCCTACACGAACTAAACTCTCTTCTTCCCTCCTTACCTTCATTTTTTCCTCCTATCCTTGTTCCTTCCCTCCCCTTCCTCCCGTCCTTGTTCCTTTCTTTCTTTCTTTCTTTCTTTCTTTTCTTTCTTTCTTTCTTTCTTTCTTTCTTTCTTTCTTCTTCCTTCCTTCCTTCCTTCCTTCCTTCCTCCCTCCCTCCCTCCCTCCCTCCCTCCCTCCCTCCCTCCCTCCCTCCCTCCCTCCCTCCCTCCCTCCCTCCCTCCCTCCCTCCCTCCCTCCCTCCCTCCCTCCCTCCCTCCCTCCCTCCCTCCCTCCCTCCCTCCCTCCCTCCCTCCCTCCCTCCCTCCCTCCCTCCCTCCCTCCCTCCCTTCTTCCCCCTCTCTCCCCCTGCCTTCCTTCACCCTCCTTCCCTCCCTTCTTTCCTTCCTCCCTCCTTCCAACAATATGTACATATCAGTGAACCCAACACAGCATAACAATGATGTGGTTCATAACACTGACATCAAACCAAAAGACACATCTTCCAAGTGTGTAATCATGTTACTTTTGCACGTGTGTATCTCCTGCCCTGTATGTCAGTCTGTTTGTCTGTCTGTCCATCCATCTATCAAGCTATCTACGCCTATCAAAGTAGATAAGACTTATGACTTTGATGTGTGTGAAATGATGACATCAAGTTCAAACATGTGTGTAATCATGTTAGTCTGCTCTGTGAATACTGCACAAAGACTGTACATGCAATAGCATGTTCATATCTACTGCAGATAAAGAGACGAGTGGAGAAACACAAGGCATTTCTCACTTTCTATAGAAATGAGATACTTCATTCATTTAAGTGTGTGGGCAGGTGTAAGGGATTTCCTCTCATTTAACATTTCAGAATTATTTTTTGTTGTTTGTTAATTTGTGAGAGTTGTAAGGAGGAGAGAAAAAAAAAACTTTTAGAGGCATAGCGTGGGTCATAAAGGGGAAATGGGATCATGGGGGGGGGGGGGGGCATACAAAAGAGATGAACTGAAAATCATCAAGGGTATTGTATAGAAGGATAATATAAGTGTTTACATTCCTTTTCCTTCTCCCTTCTACCTCCCTCCCCCTCTCTGTCTCTCTCTTTCTCTCTCCCTCTCCCTCTCTCACACTCTCTTCCTCTTTCTTCCTCTCTCTCTCTCCCTTCTCTTTTTTTTTCTCTCTCTCTCTCTCTCTCTCTTCTTCCTTTCTTTTTTTCTGCCATTCAATGGGGGAGGGCACATTCATGCCCTTCCTCTTGCTGTAGCTACAACCCTGCCTATGCAACTATAAAAGAGAAAAACTCGCAAATGTAGAGGTACTGGCTAAAATGGGGTTTGAATCTTAAGAGCTATACTAGAGGATGGAGGCGACAAGGCTGATATATATCAAGCTACATCATGCGAACCCTGGGCAGGCCGGGATCTTGGGCCGCTGGGAATGCGTGAGAGGCTGCAATTTATACCGCCTCAGCGACAGCGGATACACGCACTGTGAACCGCTGTGTCTTTCTTGAGAGTGGGATAAATAATGCAGGATCGAAAGTAATCCCGATCTAATTTTCTACACAAGCTGTATCCCACACATGTCTCCTAATATGTTATGCCAATCTCAAACTTTGCTTTGTACGGATGCTTTAAAACAAAGAATATTTTGAACTTTTTCTCATGTAATCATCACAAGCTTGTAAACAAGTAACAAAAACTAATATCCTAAAATTAGCCAACACGGATATTTGCACATGGGACAACAAGAAATGGCCTTGCACGTATATGAAGACGGCATGCATCAAGATTTTTACAAAATGCCTTGCATTATTTCTAACGATTGATCAGCAATAGCTCATTTTACATCAGACTTATTCTGCAGATCTGATTCACTAAAATGTATCATACGTTCAACTAATTGGTCATTGTTGCAGTGGATTTCTGTTTTTATTTTTGCTCTTTACTGGAACTCTTTAAACCTTATATAATAATAATAATAATAATAAAAAAAAACGTTACTTATAAAGCGCTTACCACCGAAGTCTCTAAGCGCTATATATTCAGACAAGGTACCACTTTACAACCCCAGGCATTATCCAGGGCCCAGGAGCTATCCTGCATTTTACCAAGTG